CGGGCCGGGCCGGGGGCTGCGGGCAGCGGCCGCCCCTGCCCGGGCACCGCCCTGCCCTCGGCACGCCCTGCCCGCGCCCGCTCCCCCTGCGCCTCCTCTCGGTGCTGCGCAACGGGGACAGGGCGCAGCTTTCGCCCCCCGTGCCCTTTGCTGTCCCTCTCCTCTCCTCTCCGCCGCCCCCTTCACCTGCTGTCCCGGAGCCTGCAGCGCGACCCGCCGCGGGCATCGCAGGCGCAAAGCCTGCGGTCAGTCCTGCCTGGCATGGAAGGAGCATGTACCCCGCGGCCCGGGTTGCTCTTTAACCGAAGTACTGAAAAATAACTGAGGTGAATTTAGTTGAGCTGCAGAAGCCCGTGGTGGAGACCTGTGGCTCTCGCTTGGGGCAGCGCAGAAGGAGCCATCAGGTGTGACAGCAGGCTGCATGCATATACTGTCAATTTTGGATTAAACAGTCCCTGACAAAGAGCCCATTAGTCAGGGAACAGAGCCCAGACGCAGAGCTCACTCCGTTCAAGCCCTTGCCCCTGACAAGGGTGCCTTTCTCTATTAATTTTGCGGTATTTGGTACGTGGTGGCACTGTGTCAACACAAACAAGATTTCTTTTCCGTGCGGATCTGGTGGCTGAGCCACTCGTCTGCCTCGGCAGGGCATGGATCCATGCTTAGGAAGGGTGCATCTGCTTCTCCGGGCCCTCTCTGCACGGCCAAAGGCTCCTTTATGCCTTTTCAAACTGTGTTGATACAGTTTCTCTCAGCCTTTTGTTTCAAAGTTTCCAGTGAAGAAGAGTCCTGCATCATGAATTTAAGCATGCTCTGAAGGGTTGATTTGCTTTTGCTACCTCGTTTTCAGGCTCATCTGTCTATGGGTTGAGAAGCACCATCCTCTTAAAAAAAAATATGGGTGCTATAGCTTCTTTAAAAATCGCTTCATGGTCATGTAGTTAGCATTTTTAATTTGTGCTGAGGTGTAGATTAAGACTTCACAGACAAAATGCATGCTGTAGGCATTGATGCTGATGATTCCTTCAGGTTCCTGGGAGTTAGCAGACTTTATGGGGTGCTATTCAGCTAGAGAACACAAGAAGTGCTGTAGGGAGACATGTCAAATATCCAACCCAATGGACCAGACCAGAATTGAAGAGTAAGGCGGGAACATGGTAATCCTTCCCTGGTTCACCTTTCAGCCTCGAGGATGCTGCAGCTCAGGAATTTCTGAAGTCAGCTGTGTTGATAAATGTGGGTGCCTGTGCTTTGTCAGATCCCCAGTTTAAAGGAGACCTGGGATTTAGTGTCCTATTTGGAAAATGTGAAACAGCCCTGTAACTGTTATGTGAACTGTGCTGTGCAATGCTAGTCCAGCAAATACAAAGTCACTGTGGAGACACATCGCCAGCCTCTATTGTATGGCTCCAGGAGCACCAGGATTATTAAAAAAAAAAAACCAAAAAAAAAAAAACCAAAAAAAACCAAAAAAAAAACCCAAACAAAAAAACAAAAAAAAAAAAAAAACCAAAAACACAAAAACAAAAAAAACCCCAACTCTTGGAGAAGAGCTTTTTCAAGAGGAAAGGAGTGCTAGAGATCCAATCAAAATGGCAACCAAAGATGTGGTTCTATCACAATTACTTTAAATTATTTGATCCCAAGCTTGCCACAGGTTCTAACTTCTTGGGTTTTCCCTGTTTTGGTATTAGTGCTTATTGTGAGATGGAGTTGCCTGGAAAAGTATGACGGAAAAAGAATTTTTCATTGGTACATAGATGTCCTGAAAACACCAATCAGTTCCTTGCTCCAGTTAGTCATGTGTCCCCAGGACCACTACTAATGTCCCAATGTGGTAACAAGGATGCATGGATAAGACTGTGGAACTGGTTTTTTTCAGTGGAAATTTATGCCTAGACTGGAAATATCAAAATGGTATAACATTTGTCACTATATTCAGATTGTCTTATTTGTCTGTCTGAGGTCATACCACTACAGCTTCCACCAGTCTGAGGGTTCTGAAGTGCAGGAATGTGATCTTAACATCAGTTTTATATGAAACAAGACTGGCACACATTGACATTTTGTAGCACCTTTTTGGCAAAAAGACAAACTGAAAGTCAAACATATTTTCTTTAAAATCTCAGTATCACATATATTTTCCTATATTACACTGATTGATGTGTGACCAAGAAGAGATGTTGCATGGAAACTAACACAAGAAAGCAGGGATTTTATATCTAATAAAGATTCCTAAAGCTCTGAATTTTAGTGTCCTTTAGATTCTTACTAAACTGCTTTAAATCATTAAACTCCTTCCTATCCAAATCATAAAGATAAAAGATGATATAACAAAGCAGTAACTGAAGCCATATTACTATTTTCATTCAGCTGGGGTGAAGACAGTCTTCCTGCCACCAAATAGAAACTTCACTTAAATAACACTTAGATTAAAAATTGAGACCTTGTATTGGAAAAAAAAACTCCAAGGCAAATGCTATTTGCATTCATGTAAAGCTTTTATCTCTAACTCAAGATAGAACAACATTTTCAAGTATCTATTTATTTTTTAGGAGACTGGGTATGTCTTATAGCAGCCTCTCCTTGTATGTTTTCATGTCAGTTAGGACTGTACTACCTTCTACCCATTTGATTTGCTAGCTTTTTCTCCAAGACAAAGAAAATATGTTTAGGACTGTTTCAGTTCCATTTGGATGATCATCCTGACAGCCTAGCACATGGTGACTGGAGAAAGACCCCTTTTAGAAAGCCAGTGAGTCCTGGCAGAGAGCCACCAAACACAATACAGTCTAGATTTAGAGTAGATCTTATCTGCCAAGATTGTTAATTACCTCCTGCAGGGGTGGCTTGTCTGGTCAGTAGTCATGTCTAAACATAGAGCAGTATTTGAAGTTTTCATGATCTAATGAGCTGGTAGGTAGCTTTGAGTACTCTTGAAAGCAGCAATTTTCTCAAAGATTTCCTCACTCAAGTGTTCCTGTTATTACAAATATATAAAAAATAATACCAAGGCATATACAATGATTAGGTGAAAATGCATGTTACAAAAATTAGAGATTATGCTTCTGGTTTTCCTAACATTACGTGGAGGATATAATAACCCTACTGAAATAATTAAGAATTCTCTCACTGACTTTGGTACAAACAGGATCTACTGGTAGGAAGTATGTGAAATGCTTTTAGTGGCAGATGATCTAGGATGATAAAATGGTGCAGCACTAGCATGGATCCAGTAATTTTCCTAGTGAACTCAAAAGAGGCATGCTGGGCAACATTCCTTTCATGCCCATTTCCACTTTCTTTTATTATTTACTTTAGATGAGTGCATTGAGTCATCGTAAAATACTATCAGCACAAACAGCAGCACTGTGCTGATTTGTGCAATTGTTTATCTTGTTTTCCATTACTTTAGGGATGGCAGCTCCTCTCTTGACAAGGTACAGTTAGTACAAACTAATTCCAGAGGAAGCAAACGCAGCTCTGGCCAAAGCATTGTTTGCATTTGATGCTGAAGACAAAGTCCCAAGTCATTTCCTTTCTTAAGCAGTGTTGCAGAGTCTCTGGGCCTTGCTGAGAGTTTTTACTTTGTAGCCTAGGAGTATCAATATTTCAAAGTTTTGGTCATTTATCTTATATTTTCTTTGACATTTTTCCTAGCCTTTTTGAGCTCCCAGATTCCTGCCTGTTTCTCCATGGGATGTAACATGGTATGGCTATGATGTAACAGATCATAGAATCATAGAATATTTTGGGTTGCCAGGGATCCCTAAGGTCATCTCGTCCAACCTCCTGCAATGAGCAGAGACATCGTGAAATATATCAGGTTGCTCAGTGCACCATCCAGCCTGACCTTGAATGTTACTAGGAGTGGGGCATCTGCTGCCTCTCTGGGTAACCTTTTCCAGTGTTTTACCACCCTCACTGTACAAAATATCTTCCTTATATCTGGTCTGAATTGACTCTCTTTTAGTTTAAAAACCATTATCCTTTTTCATTTCACTACAGACATAAAAAGACTGTTCTCATCTTTCTTATAAACACCCTTTCAGTATTGAAAAACTGCAAGGAGAAGTCTTCTCCACAACCCCAACACTCTCAGCCTTTTCTCATACAAAAGGTATTATATCCCTCTGATTATTTTTATGGCCCTCCTCTGGTCTCTCTTCAATAGCTCCATATTTTTTCTGTGCTGAGGACTCTGGAGGTGGATGCAGTACTTCAGGTGGAATCTCATCAGAGGTGAGTAGGGCTAAAAATCACCTCCCTCAACCTGCTGGCCACACTTCTTTTTGTGTAACCCAGAGCACAGTTTGTTTTCTGGGCTGCAAGCAGACATTGCTGGCTCATTACCATTTTATTTTCATCCACCATTACCCCAAGTCCTTCTCAGCAGCACCCAATCCAGTAATCCCCCAGCATTTATTGATTCCAGAGATTGCCCCAATTCAGGTGCAGGACATTTCACTTGACCTTACGGGACCTCATGAATTTCTCATGGACTTGCTTCTTGAGCTTGTCCAGGTCCATTTGGATGGCATCTCATCCCTCAGGCAAGACAACTGCACCACTCAGCATGGTGTCTGCAAACTTGCTGAGGGTGCACTCCATCCCACTGTCTAGGTCACTGACTCAGAAGTAAGGAGTATGGGTCTCCTAATACAAATCCTTGAGGGACACCACTCATCACTGGCATTGAGACATTGACCACTACTGTCTGGATCCAGCTATACAACCAATTCCTTACTCACCAAGTATCAGGTTCCTTCCAACAGCTCCTTGTATGCTTCTTATTGCTGCTTCATGGTCTTATCCAAATTTCCAAACAAAATAAGAAAAGGTTAAAACTGTTGTTAGATAATTCCGCGATTTTATATAGGCATCATGAGGACAGGTAAGACCTGAGGGATGTTTAAGCTGAGGTGAAAGAATGGGAAGACCTGGGCCAAGGGA